GGCTAAAAAAGTTACTTACACTAACAGAAAGTATATATTACAATTAAAATTCCACATCCGATCCATTTAATTTGAACTGATATACAAAAAAAAAAATCACATTTTCGAAACAATAATTCAAACATTGGACTGCGGTATGGTAGTATCACAGGGATCAGACCAAATAACTATAAAGAAAAAACAGACTCCATCTTGATGAGCTTTCAATGCTTAATCAACAAACCATTACCAACAGGTATGAAATTGGCAGAACACAAACAGATACTAACCCTGATCATGAATAAGGCAGAATGCTGAAATCAAATGCAAGAGATATAGATAAACATCTTTTATCCAATGCTTACTGACCAAATCAACCATAGAATGAAGCTGAACGAAAACATGGCAGATGACCAAATCCATATATCCAGTCAATTAAAGACTTAGTGAAGGTTAGAAGACTTTGTAATTGCCAAATATTTACATATAAATCATTGTAAACAGACCATTCTACAAAAGGAACTTTTCTAAACAGAGTGATAACAAGTAATGAGATAAACAAAATAACTGATAATCAACCATTTAAAATGAAATGACAAATTTCTTAATGGGCTCATACATCTGGTAAATTTCCCAACTTCTGTATCTATAAATAAGAAGAAATTTAAAACCATGTGATGGACCAGGAAAGATTGCCCCAGTGGATGATACTTAAAAGAACATTTTTCACAAAAAATATCTCGGTACACCCAACATGTTTCTCACTTCACAAACTGGCATTTCTCTGGTGCAACTATATTACACAAGAGGTTCCTTTTCTTAACCAGCAGTGCCTATTAGTACTTGGGGGCAATTATCCCCCATTTCCCTTAAGTAAAACACAAAGAAGTGGAAGTATGAGAGAGAAAGCTGTTGATCACTTCATTATGTACACAAACAACATGTGATGAACATATGGATTGGCTCCATCAGCTACAAAGAGTTCTGTTCACGTGAATCCTGTATCGAAAGAGGAAGAAGAATTAGTTGGAATATGAAATTTAATGATATGTCATCATAAAACATAGAGTAGGCACTCAATTAACTTTATCTTGAGATGGTACTAATTTAAGGAAACAAGTGGATTCAATAACTTAAGTTATCAATCATATAAAAACCCCTCTCTTGTATTTACCCATAAAAATATGATTTCTGAACTGGATACTTAGCTTCATGCAGGATAATCAATTATCACTGTCTTAGTACCCAGTGTCTACCCACTTCATATACTGTATTGTTAACATATAAAGCATCCAACTTCCTTCAAGGAAAATGTTTTACGTCTAACACACAAACAAATTTTACCAAACCAGATTTCTCTCCCTTTTGCTAACTGTAGCTCACCTGGCGAAGGGATGGTCACACTCATGCCTTTGACATCAAATTCAATCAGGAAAGGGTACAAGCGTAGGAAAACAAAAAACAATGGAAACATTAGGAGAAAAGAAAATAATAGCATACACCCATCTAGTTCACCATCTCCATGTGGGTGGGTAGAGAAGGCACAGCACGAATTTTGGCTCAAGTACAACCACCGTACAAGGTGGATCCCTGTGTAGAATGTTTGCTCATGCCTTCTAGGACTCCAAGTAATAAATCTAACATCGAATCAGTTCATGTTGAAATTATACTTGTGTTGTTCTGGTTTCAAAATATACCCTACATCCTTTAAAGCTGACAACCCTTGGTACCTGAAATTACACTTGCAGCCTTCTAATACACCCAGCTTGACTTTGGTGCATGCTGAAACTATGCTTGCTTTATTCTCATTTCAAAATATACCCTACACCCTTAATCTGTAAGGGCAGTTGGTACCTAAATTACACTTGCATCCTTCTAATACATCCAGCTTGACAAACTTCCATTATATTTTTAGGGATGTACGAGTACATTTTAACATTTCGAGGATGCAACTTATTTTCAGCATAAATGTAGAAGTAAATTATATATAAGTTAAACTACAAAGATCTCATTAGAATTTTGCTGGAATTAGTACTCATGCATCCTCCTAGTTTCAAATAATTTTTAAATCTTTTAAAGTATGAGTGGATAGTCATTGAACTTTGAAAAGAAAGTGACTCGTTTAGAATGATAGTCATGACCTCAAAAGGATACTGTTATTTGTGAGCATAGTGACAGGATGCAATTGAAGTCACATGACCTTTTGTGAGCAAGGCGACAGCAGGCAATTAAAATCTCATGATCTCTTCAGCATTTGTTATCAGGATCATGTGATTAGACAATTAAAGCAGAACATTTTCGATGGAGAGGATGAGTGGATAGACTAGAAAACTGGACTTTAAATGGCAAGTTAAACGTCATCGTCCTAAGATTGTTAAAATTGAAGGTTGTTCAAATGTGAAAAAATGTCTTAGACATGGTTGAAACTGAAGAGCTACAAAAAAGGACGAAGTTTCCGATCTTTTATGGTTAGACATAATTATAATTTGGCAAGAACACACTTCACATGCAGGTTGCAGCCTCAATTTGTCTTTTCCCCAAGTATCTCATAGAACTGTATCCCAGTGCAATGCCAAATGAAATCACAATATCTACCTTAAATACTTAATCGATAAGTTCAGCTATAGGATGAAGCAATTAGCCCAAAAAACCAAAGAACTATAAATGAAGCAAACGGAGGATAAATAAAGAAAACCTGAACACATCACATATCTAAAACTTGGAATTTTTTTATTAGAATCATGCTCCATCATCTTGACAGTCCAATTATCTACATACAAAATTTTAGTAAAACATGTTGCTAGAAGAAATAAACAAGACTAGAATTCATCATGATAAAACTCTGAAAGTATTAAAGAAGGTGAAGCCTCAAATAGTTATATAACACACAAGCAGCAAAACTGATTATCCAAACTTTTAAAATTACCAAGTTAGCCAAAAACATAAACAGTTTAAAAATGATATTCTGTGCTACTTGATAACTTTCTTGTTACCTTTAGCTTTCTAGTTTTATTACTCTATCCGAAGCAGTTCATGCTACACCGATATTCATCAATGTATGAGGTGGTGAAGTGTCTGCAGTTGTCCTTCGATTATGAGGAAGATCCAATGACTTAGGAACTGTTGAGTTTGATCTTTGACCACTAGATGGTATAGAAAAGCTGCGAGCCATAACACCAGGAGGTTTTGGTAGTGGTGTCGCTGTGTGAGATGAAATTGATGGCGGTTTGCATGTTGCATTTAGCTCTTGACCTCTAGACACCAGAGGGGCTGAATGACCAATCAAATTGGAAGGTCCTGTCTGTTTACTAAAGCCTATTGGAGGCCTTGGAAGCTCATGAAGTTCATTTATTCTCGGTGACGTCACAAGAGGAGGAGGAGAGGCACTTGGAGAAACTTTCCGCGGCAGGGGTAGCTTAGGTATGGGAATGTTTGTTGGTTTTGCAGGGACACCAGGCAGGTGTTCCATTGATGACATGGAATTGGTTGAACTAGCTGGTTTGCTTGATGGCGGTTTACTTGTCAATGGACCAGAAAAAGCTTGTCTCTCAATCTTCTTTGGATCAGATGCATTTGATGGAATCAACTGAGGGAACATCCCGACACTAAAAGCAATTGGCGTTCTGATGGGGCTACTGATGTTGTTACTCTCTTTAAGTATTGATTGCTCTCTAGGTAAACTGGTGGGGCTTGGCAACTCAACATCTCGGTAGTCTTTGCCAAGAAAATTTGGCTGCAATGGAGATGAATGCCACGGTTGTGCTGGCCATACACCTTTGTTTTCTACCCGAGCAGCAGAAACTGAATTAGCTGAACTTGTTGAGTTTGAGCTCTTAACATCAAGAGGAGTAGGAAGAGCATATGTGTAAAACCTCTTTGCTGATGAAGGCTCGATCTGATTTATCCTTTCAGATGATTTAGACTTCTTATCACAAAAAAGAGGTGCTGACAGACTGACAGCCCTAGGACCCTTGGTGAAAGGAGAGAAATCTGCTTGACGACTGTCTACATTTTCCTA